ACTTCTCTAACTGATGTCAGCTAATGATGAAGTCCGCCATGCGATCAAACAAAATCTCTACAAAAACCAATACTTGAAAATTCGTATTCAATCGCTAAATTCAGCAGGTTTGCCACTGGGGTGTAGTGACTACAACTGTTATGCACACAGCTTCATTATGTATGTGAAATGGACACTAAACGGTGAAAAACTCACATAATTTGTCAACCCTGCAGTATTTTTCTCGCTTTTTATGGAATGTTTTCTTCTCTTCCAGTGACCTGGTTCAATAACTATTATGGTTATTATTATTCCCTTGGGTTCCGAGCGGAACATAGAATTTCAACAACACATCTCCACTTCTTTCTATTCTCTGGTGTCCTCTTCAGCTGGCTAGCCCCATGATTGCCCATAATCTCTCATCTCCTCCCCACATGATCTCCTCTGTGTCATCCTGGATGCGACGACCCAGTCATTGCTCCCGATTGGGATTCCATTCGAGCAATGGCCTGAATTGTATGCAGTGTCATTTGACGGTCTCCTCTATCTCCATTTTTTCTTACATGTTTGTTGAGCGATCAGCTTTTGATTGGTTTGTTGCTAATTCTTTCATGCTGATCATTTGATCTTCAGTATGTGGCCAGCGAAGTGGGCAGCTGTTGGTTGATGTTAGTCTGTAACCTGTTAGAAATGCTCTTCACAATGCGCGGTGCAAGTTTCTGACCTATATAAAAGAAGTGACTGACTTCACTGACATTTGTGTTGAAAATCAGAAACCCTCTGTTTATGCCGGCCGAGTGAAGAAGATTTCCAAACTAATTTCAAATTGATGAAGGTGTACCTTGCCTTTCAAATTCTGACTCTGACATCTTCAGGCATTCCGACTGCCGCCTGTGGTTGAAACGATGCTTTCTGACCAGATAAATGAAGGAAGTAACCTCTGTTAAATCTCTTCCATTGTTGGTTATTGGTGCTTGTTGTTGCCACTGTTGTTATTGGGTCGGTTATCTTCATCATCTCCGCCTTTTCTATGTTCACGTGGAGTTTTGTCTTTCCTGCCTGTTTTTTTTTCAGCTAGTTTCTTGGTTTTCGCCTTCAAGTCTTCGAATTTATGTGATAATAAACATGCTGAAATTACTGAGGTATCCGAATTTTATCCAGCCCAGTGCATAAATCCTTGTAAAATTTTTCTTACCGTTTTATTCATAATTATGCACATTTTTAATTAGTTTTCAAAAAAAAAGTGCTACCTACACCTCGAAGAAAGTGTTTATTACAGAGGGTTTAATCTTGTTTTTGACGTAGAATCATAGTGTCACATGATTTTTTGTATCGATTACACTTTTACTTGAATTTTGTGTAAGGAGAATTAATAAATGATATCAGATGGTTGGAGGCAATCGGCCACAGGAAGCCTTGGACCTAGGTTTCGTGCTATTTGGCACTCACTAGCCAGTCAGCAAGGCATATCTTCAACTGCCTTGAAGGAACAACTCATGTCCCTTCTGAGATTCCAACCCGCCTCATCCAGTGAGTACTGCAGTCATAGACGTTACCACTGAGCTAACTATTCAGGCTCTTGATTGACCTCCTGTAAGACTGTAGTGGATATTTTGATTTGAAACTAGTAACTAGTGTGATGTGTCTAGTCCCCTCTTTGGTGAAGGCTGAATTCTATCAGTTGGGGTGTAATGTGGCAACCATTCTAGGTAGCTCATCATCACGATACACACTGAAATGATGATATTAGATGGCTGGAGGCAATTGAAGTTTTAATGCGCTGATAATTCTGAAGAATGTGTTAAAATAGTATGTAGATCAAAGCTGTTTTTATCATCGTTCTTCATACTTTTATTCCCCTTTATGAATTTGAGTAAAACGAGAACAACAGAAAGTTTGTGCCCAACAAGATGGTGTAATCATTTATTTCGTTGACTTCTTATCAGCTGAGTGCGTAAGAAAGCCTAAAGAAATTATTAAGTTGTCGCATGAAACAATTTTAACATACAAATATTACTTGTACTCTCTGGGTGAGAACTCTTCTATATGTGTAATTTTCTGAGCACTGTTCATTACATTTGGAGCCTCCTGTCAATAACTGACATCATGTATCATTTTGAAGTATTCGATTCGATTTAGATTTTCCCGTCAGTCTATTGAACTGAAGTGTTCAGTCCAATTCAGGTACATCCAGATGATGAGTCCCAAATAGGATGAAATGCGCATCCTGGATTTCACTGCTAGTCACCATCAACCAACTGATTTGGATGTATGTTTAAAATTCTTCTGTACATAAATTTAATAATAATATATTTAGTATACAATTGGTGGATGCTGGCTAGCAGTGGAATCTAGGATGCGCATTTCGTCCTATTTGGGACTCGTCATCTGGATGTACCTGCACCAGTTGTATACTAATTAAATGCCCAGAAATCGTCGAAGCATCTGCACAAGAAGCCAACATGTCAACCTGGGACCGAATACTTCGGTCCAATCAATCGACGGGAAAATCAAAAATTCAATTCAATAAATAATATATTTAGGCTGTAAGCATTGTAGCTGGTGAGAAGCTGGCGGAATAAATGATGGTACCATGATATTCTGCACAAATCCCCCTCCCCCATTGTTCTTGCTTTGTCCAAATTTATTATTGCTAATATCATCATTTAATTTTCTTCTTACCAGACTGATTGGTTTAAGATACGACTCAAACGCTCGCTTTGAAATGCCACTGAAGTACCTTTCTTGTTTGATTGTTTTACAGTTGTCTTTCTCAATACCATAGGTTCTAAACTTCCTTCTCGCCTTTTCCGTTATATTGTCCCTTGTGGACTGTGATTAAAATGTTGATGTCGTTTTTGGTTGGGTCATCTGAAGCCGCACTTAGCTTTTGACAGGCAATGGACCATGTTTAGGAGTGGAGAATTCAAGAGTCGACTGGAGGTGTTTTGGGTATTAAGAAGATAAGAACGACAGTGTGTCACCAGTCACAGACAAATGGTTTGATAGAATGAGGTAATCTGACGACTAAAGAGTGACTGATGACAAAAGGAGGTATTTAGGAGACTCATCTCTCATCAGTACTTCTAGATTCCACCGTTCTAGTTGATATATAGTAGGAAACCGTGACTACTAATATACAGTAAAGTTTGTCCAAATCACCAAAATTGGGATATGAAATGAGAGGAAACGAGACGAAAAGAAATAATCGAAGGTGTAAAGTATAAGCAGAAGGTCGATGGTGTAAAATTTGAACACAGATAAAAGGAGGAATGCAAGTTGATTAAAGTTGGCGATCCCTTACACTATAGAGAAAGGTAGTTTACAGTTGAAGGAAGGCGAGTTTCACGAAAACTCCTTCCAAAGTGCGTTGAACCGAACGGTGTAATCAAGAGACATGGTTCTGTTTGTACCACCAAGAGAAGAGGCAAACTGAAAAGTGCTAACCCTAATGATCTACAGAGATCAGTACAGTGGGATAAAGAATTCGATATCAGAGCACAACAAGAGCGGATAGCATTAAAAGGTCGAGGTCGCTATACTCCGAACTTACCAACTAAGCAGGGTGGGTACGGTGTATGCCGTGTGCAACTAACAAAGTTATAAGCAACATATAATTGCAACGTGAACACAGAGAATACAGAGGCGATGAAGATTCCTGACCAACCTCAGCAGAAACAACAACAGACAACAATCAGCATAAATTGAAGAAATCCAAAAGAAGCAAACTCCTTTACTTAGCTGGGAAGCATCGTTTCAACTACAGGCGGCGGAAATGATGCAGCTATCAAATCAAGGCAAGCTTTCATTACTTTCAAGTCTATGCGGAGATCAGTAGCACTCAGTATGAAAAATAAGATCCCGATTTTCAATTCGAATGTGAATTTACTGCTAGTCTGTACGGGTCATAGATTTGGCGCCGCATCACGAAGGCCACTTCAGACAAGCTACAGACCTTCATCAACAGATGTCTCCAGTCAATACTACTTAAGATCAGATGGCTGAGCAACAGGGATTTCTGGCGATGAACAAACCAACCCAGCAGAAACTAGATGTGCAACAAATGAGCAGGAAGAAATGGAGATGGATTGGCCATACTCTGAGAAAACAAACCATCAAGTGACATCACACATCGGGCCATCGCTCGAGTGGAACCCGAATGGGAAGCGGCGAGTTGGCCGTCTGAGTGTGACATAGAGGATTTCATGAGAAAAGGACGTGAAAGCATGTGAACAGACGTCGAACCAGGTGGTGAAAACGTTGGTGGAGAACCGAAAACACTAGAGACGTGCAGCTGAAACCCTCTGTTCCTCTAAGAACCATAGGAGATAATAATGTAATAATAATACGGTTGCAACGTACATGGAGACGTGGGAATCATCTTGAAACCATAAAGAAAGAATAGAATGAATGCAGTATAAGTATAATACGAATAACTTTTTGTGAACTAAACTTTTAATGTAAGGTGTTTGTGTATCTAGCCGTTTGACTGGGTAATCAAGAAATCTTTCAAAGTAATTCGATCTTCTATAAGTCATCATTTCTTTCCAGACATCGTCCTATATTATTTATCATCTATCTAAGAAACTTATCCTTGTCTACAAACAACCATTTCAAAAATTAGATTATGATTTTAAAAAATTCATAGTCCACAATGAATAAACTTTTCACTAGCATGAATTTCACTCACATTTACTGAAATTATTTATTTTATTATCATTTTATTCCTTTACTTTCCCAGTGGAACATAGAGGGCTTCATGCTAGAGGCTTGAAGTTTCAGCAGCATTGGTGTTTACTGTTACGGGGTGGGGCTGCTAGCCACATGCCCAACATCCCCTCTCTACCAGTCTTATTACTGCCTTAGCGAGGTATATAAATGCGTCAGCCGAGGATTGAAACCCGAACCACATTCATGGTTAGTTAGCATCCTATCACTGTGTCCCCGAAGCACATTTATCTAAATTTAATTCTTCTAATTAATTAATTAATCAATTAATTTCTTTTCTTTGGCTGTTTTAGGTTCGTAAACGAAATCACACTGATCTATGCCCTGTCCATCTGGTTGCATATAAAGGCAATTTAGCTATGCTACACTATTTAATACAGAATGGTGTGAATGTTCATCAACCCACTTGTACGCTACAACGTTGTCCAGTTCATTATGCTGCATTACGTCAACAGGTGTCATGTCTACAAATGTTGGTAAGTTTTGATTCTATTCCATTTAAATCGAAAATATTATTTAATTTGTTTTTTTGGAAGTAACACTACTACTACTTATAAGAATATGAGTAATAATAACTTTATTCCAAAGAGTATTTTCGGGTATAAATTAAGGAATTTTCAGCATGTAGTACAGTACCCTATTGCATCTAACTTATTATTATTTCCTTTAATTCCTAGAGGAACATAGGGCTTCAGCCGAACGTCTCCAGTGTATTCGTTTCTCCACAAACGTTTTCATCACCTGGTTCCACCTCTGTCCATATGCTTTCATCTCCTCTTCACATAACCTCCTTCAAGTCACCCTTGGACGACAAACTCGTCCCTTACCTTTCGGGTTCCACTCAAGCAATGGCTTGTCTAGTGATGTTACTTGATGGTTTCCTCAGAGTCCGGCAAGTCCACCTCCATTTCTTCCTGCTTATTTGTTGCACAATCGGTTCCTGCTGGGTTGATTCATCCATTGCGAGAAATCCCTGTTGTTGATCTTTCCTGACCGGCTATCTAATCTTGAGTAGTATTGAGCGAGGACAGCTAGCTGTTAATGAAGGTATGTAGTTTGTTTGAGATGTTCTTCATGACGTGACAAGTCTCTGATCCGTATGGTAGCACTGACTTCATATTGAAGTTGAAAATCCGGATCTTATTTACATTTTCATGCTGAGTGGTGCTGTTGATCTCCACACAGACTTGAGAATAATGAAAGCCTGCCGTGCTTTTCCGATACTCGCTTTGATATCCTCTTCAGTCCCATCCACATGTAGTTGAAACGATGCTTCCCAAGTAGGTAGGTGAAGGAGGTTGTTTCTTTCAGGTTCCTCCCATTTATGCTGGCTGATTGTTGTCTGTTGTTGTTGTTGTTGCAGTCGCTGTCAATGTTGGCCAGGAATATTTATCACCTCTGTTTTTTCTGTGTCACCTGAAGTTCTATCTTCTCTGGATACTTCTTCTATCGCCAACTTGTTGCTTTTCACTTGCATATCTTCCAGTTTGTGGGAAATCAGAAATATATCATCGGCGAAGTCCAGATCCTCCAAGTTTTTTGTGTGAGTCCATTTTATGCCTGTTTCCTCATTGCCCGTTTTCCGTCGCATTACTCATTACAAGGGTAATAATTAAAACTCATGGCATTCACAATGATAATATCGTTAAATAAGAATATGAACATAAAATCAAATTAAATGAAAATATTAACAATAATACAATAATGGAGAAATAGGGCTGTTTACTTAGAGCTCAGCAGTCAGTTGGTTATGTCCTGCCTTACACTTTTCTCACCACATAAAATGTGTCCCGATCAAATCTGGTATTGTAGAGTTTTTTTATGCTTGATCGTTGAAGCATAAAGTCTCTTGTAATTCCTTCTAGTTATGCTCACCTGATAAGATGCAAGAAATGAGAGTTGTGTATCGAGACGATGCTCACAATCTGACAAGATAATATTAGCTAATTTTTTGCATGAGTCCATGTGTCTGTCCGAAACAGTATTAACGAGTTGATTTAGCAACACCCCACTCACTCCAATGACACTTTTTAGTGCCCTTCGCAGTTTAACACAGCCTTTCTTAAGTAACCCGGGAAAGACTAAAATGTTGAGGAGCAGCCAAGAAGGATAGGCGGAATATAAAAATTAGAAAAACTTAGAAAGTAGAGAGTGAGTGGCACCAGATTATCTTAAACTCCTTAAGTAGAACGTCAAACAAAATATCTTTATGGCAGCTAAAATGATTTGGGAATACCAGGAAAGTTGATCAGAGAAAATACGCAATCCAAGGTTTTTAACATTCGATTTGGCTTTAACTTTTTTGCCATTTATGACAATGGAGCCATGAGAACTAACCAGTTCATGTAAGTCTCGCTTGTGTCCAAAAGTGAAGTTAACAACTTGACATTTGGAGGGATTACACTTCGGACCTTCTGACAGGGACTATTGCCTTTACACTCGTCGGCAATTTTTGGTGCAACAATGTGGCATAATTGTGCGTCAGTGGCACAGAGGTTAGGACTCTCACTGCCCATGCACATGGTCCGAGGCTCTATCCCCTGCTGACGCCCACCTGATATCTATGGTCGGCCTGTAAAATTTGGGCTATCGGTATCACATGCTGAAAATTTCATACTTGTATCAAAAATACGATGTGCAATCAAGCTATAATCAAAAATAAAAAAATGAAACTCTATTCATTTTGGAATAATCTTTTAGGAAGTGACGGGCGTGGAAACAGTCACATCATCCGTATACCTAATGAAACTGGCTTTGTCTGAATGAGGCAATTCATTTAAGATGGAAGAAAAGGGAATTGGAAAAATTACAGCGCCTTGTGTGAGGAACTCCAGCTGGAGTAAGTGAAGCAGGCAGTGGAAGACTTCTCACTGTGAACAGTTTACCGCCTGCTTTCGAAACATAGGAACGCAGCTGATGATCGACGAAGCAGCCTGCTTGTATCCCACCGAACTCGTCTAACAAGGGAAGTCTGTGTATAAAGTCAAAGGTAGATATGTAACCTAGGAACGCACACCAAACACCATATTTATCACCTCTATCTAAATTAGAGATAAAATCAATAAATAGAGGAACAACTTTTGTCACAAACTTTTTTAAATGCCTAAAACATTCTGATATCGATTTTTATCAGTAGATTTAATATAAGCAACTCGGAAATTAATCGATTACTCAAAAACTTTCATTTAATCAGTTTGGAACTAATTCTACCAAATATTCGACTAGTAGTATATGATGTGACACTGGTCACTTCTTTGTGACCAATCACTGTAATCACTACAATTCGGATGTGATCCTCAATACCATACCGTTGATTTCTCTGATCACATCACTGTATGACATGAGTCCAAATTTCAGAGGGGACATAAGTACCTTCAAGGTTGCAGATATGTCTTTCTGACGGGCGCCAACAAACACAAAATCTAGGTTTACGGCTTTCTATCGATTGACTTCAACGCATCTAACGCCAACCTAAAGTGTACTGCTATTGTAAGTAACCTAACTTGATGAAGACAGGCTAATAAAGTTCAGTCAGCTTCGAAATATAAGACTAGAAATCTAAGAGTTCTTGACACTTCTTAAATTTCTTCTAATTGCTGAATGATACTCAAATTAACATCCGTTGATGTGAACTTCAATCATTGTAAAACTTTGTTAACTTACTGTTTGCCTGAAATCTATGCTACTCACTGGCGGATAGAATCATCCTTAGGAAGTAAAACATTTTCTAAGATGCACACCACAGAATCAGCAATGTATATTTATATACCCATTGAACGAAATATTCCCCTATTAAGTCATAAGAAAAAGGCACAAACAGTAAAGAGGAAAATTTTCTTTTCGACGATTCATTTTCATCAACTCATGTGCAATCGTAGTTATAATTGACACAGAAAAATTTTTTGGGACCAATCAGATACTGGTAAACTTTGTCCTTGAAAATTCTACTACATAATGTAAGGTGGAACAACCTAGATGGGATGACTAATTGTAAGCTAGAAAGGAGACAGAAGTTGGCATGACGTACGTGATAAGTGTGAGATAATGACCAACTAATCAATAAGCTCATCATGTAGAATGGACAGGAACTAGTGGAAAGGCTATAAAGTAGTTTCGTAAATGATCAGTGTGAAAATGCACTGTTATTGATAAACAGTAATAGAGTGGTAATAAAATGTGGATAGTGGGAATAGTAATAATAATAATAATAAAAGTATTAAGAACAATAATAATAGTGAACTTACATATTAAAAGAGAGGAGCAAAATTATAGTAAGAAATTTACTCTGGCCATGGTAGGGCCAGAGAATGTATGTATCGTTTTTGTATGCACAGGTCCGGTTTTAGGTCTCGAATAGCTAATGCCTCAACTATGTACAGCTGTCGTACCCGGAGTCCTTTTGTACGATATTGAGGGACTCTCTGTGTACCACGGTGAAGCATTCATGCAATTGGGGGTGCTCGCTGTCCGAAGATGACAAGGTGTTCGAGAATCAAATGCTTCACAGTGGTACACAGAGTCCCTCAATATCGTACAAAAGGACTCCGGGTACGACAGCTGTACATAGTTGAGGCATTAGCTATTCGAGACCTAAAACCGGACCTGTGCATACAAAAACGATACATACATTCTCTGGCCCTACCATGGCCAGAGTAAATTTCTTACTATAATTTTGCTCCTCTCTTTTAATATGTAAGTTCACTATTATTATTGTTCTTAATACTTTTATTATTATTATTATTACTATTCCCACTATCCACATTTTATTACCACTCTATTACTGTTTATCAATAACAGTGCATTTTCACACTGATCATTTACGAAACTACTTTATAGCCTTTCCACTAGTTCCTGTCCATTCTACATGATGAGCTTATTGATTAGTTGGTCATTATCTCACACTTATCACGTACGTCATGCCAACTTCTGTCTCCTTTCTAGCTTACAATTAGTCATCCCATCTAGGTTGTTCCACCTTACATTATGTAGTAGAATTTTCAAGGACAAAGTTTACCAGTATCTGATTGGTCCCAAAAAATTTTTCTGTGTCAATTATAACTACGATTGCACATGAGTTGATGAAAATGAATCGTCGAAAAGAAAATTTTCCTCTTTACTGTTTGTGCCTTTTTCTTATGACTTAATAGGGGAATATTTCTTTCATTCTATTCTATATAATTTCACAAATTATTCATTATTTTATGTTTATTTTATCCAAAATGTATATTTTAGTTGAATGCTGGAGCTCAGATTGATGCTCGTGATACATTTGGCAATACTCCGTTACATTATGCAGCTGAAGATGGAGATGGTGGACTGCTAAGTCTCCTGTTGAACAATGGAGCTTGTGTTGATGCTCAGGTAAGAACAACAGCAATAACAATAACAACGAGGACTTAAAGAAATTGCTTCTATTTGGCATACCTATTCTATCATGTATTTGCTTATTTATTAAAATAAAATCAGTCGAGGTGAAAACCCAAATTAGTGAAGGATTTAGACAAGCAGTTCTACGACAATCAGCTCAACTTTCGACTTGAAGGATGCGTCTAATTCAAATCCCATGAGGAAACAGGTTTTATTTCGCCTTCACTTGTCAATCAATCAATGAATAGTGTAAAGAAGAAGGATCAATGAGGTTAGAAGGCCATGTTCACTAAAACAAATGCATTGTAGGCACATGAATTTAGTATGCCATATCTTTATTGGCACATTATTTGCAAATTGGTTGAATGTCACCACATTCGATAGCTTGTTGGATTCTACACAGTGCTTGTAATATTGTCCTCACAGTTCTTTTCTTAGACTGCTTTTACCAGTCCCCCAAAACATATTATTACTTTTTTGAGTTCGTTTACTGATATATTACTTATATGTGATTATAAGTAGTACTCAACACAATAACAGTCCGTCGACTCAAAGTAGTCCTAGAGAGTTTCATCATCAAATAAGAACTCAGAGAATTACAAGAATCTTATAACTAAGCACTGATGAGCCGGAAAAACATTATACTAACGAATAAATGGTGTTTTTTTGTTGAAAATCAACAAACTGTCTGAAGAAGCAGGCAGTGAAGACGGGATTCTAGGTGAACACAGAGAAGACGGAGGTGTTGAAGATAACCAACGGATCGCAACAACAACCAGCACCAATCACGATCAACGGGAGAGATGTAACAGTGGTTAATGCCTTCATGTGGAACGGACGAATATGCCAAAGTCAGAATCGAAAAGGCCAGGTACGCCTTCGTCAACCTGAATGAAACCAGTTTGGAAACCTTCTGCAATAACTCAGCATAAAGAACAAGATTTGGATTCTGGTCAACACAAATATCAAGTCATTCGTTTCTCAAATATGGGTCAGAAACTTGCACTGCGCGTCATGAACAGCATTTCCAACAATTTACAGACTTTCATCCACAGCTGCCCACTTTACTGGCGCTATACTCAAGATCAAATGGCCGGCCAACCACGAAGAATTAGCAACAAGAAACTGTGGAAATGAACAAACCAACGAAGACCCGATCGCTCAACAAGTATGAAGAATAAAATGGAAATGGATCGGGCACACGTTGAAGAGGCCGTCAGATGACATCGCACGCAGTGCAAGCCATCGCTCGAGTGGAATCCCAATGGAAGGGGACGTGTTGGTCGTTCCTGCGAGGCTGACATGGAGGAGGTTTTGTGAGTTGGAAGAGGAGATGAGAGATCAAGGGAAATCGTACGGCTAGCCCGCTGAAGAGAACAGCAGAGAATAGAAGGAAGTAGAAATGTGTTTCTGAATGCGTATTTTCCACGTGGAACCCAAGTTAATAATAATAATAATAATAAATAGACGTTGAATTATTAAAACAATCTGGCTTTAGGTGGAATGACTTCATCTCCACATTAGTCGTAAAATACATAAGACAAATCGACATTTTCCAACGTCTTCTACGACTTATTCTATCATTCATATAGGTTAACATAATTATAGATGGTCATTTCAAATATTTCATTCCTTCTAGTTGCATTACTAATAAACACATGGTACTATATACTACTGTCTGACTGATATGAGTAGTTGAGTGCTACTCATACCAACCACTAGTCCATACTGTCTAGAATAAAGTGATCTAGGTAACCAGTGACTGTGTTCCATGTTTAGCAACTTAGATTATCACTGGTAAACCAAGTTTGACTCAGCTCAGAGACAGTCGAATTACTTCAAAACACTCTATTTCCAACTTTCTGTACTTAAGCGAACTGATAATATGTCGGATCAAACTCTCACTTCGCGAACTAACTGCCGTTATGCAATTTACACAGTTCGGAGTGAAATGCCATCTCAGTTTCCTTGATTTGGGCGGTATCTAACTATTCATGCCGATCAATCAGTAGTGTTTGACACAACGCATTCATGTTTTATTTCCTGATTGCCAACTAGGAGGTCACCTATTGTGATCTAAACAAAGTGAACCCTGAACGGTGTAAATTGCAAATCGTGAGTAGACTGAACCCTATGCAGATTACTAAAATTGCTGCTTAATGCCTAAATATTACTGAAATGAGCGACAAGGTTCAGACATCAATAATGGGTTATTTTTGATGTGTAACAGATCACAAAAGTGTTTTGAATTCACATTTTATGGGAATTTTTCATTCTCTTCATTCAGTTGTAAGAAGCCTTCTACACACACACACACACACACACACAAATAGACACACACACGCAGATGGGATAAATAGTGGACGAAATAAAATTTTCTTTAATTCTTGTTCTTTTACTTATAAGTAGTATCAAGTTCTAACGAAACATTTTCCACTGTACGTGACATCTGGATGTAACTTCTTTACATAGCAGTATAGCAGTCATAGCTATTCAGGGGTATATATGTATGGTTTTAGTTGCCGACAGGGATCAAAGGTTAAGGTTAGTTAGTTGGTAACAAAGATAAGCCAGAACGGTTGAAAAATAGAAATGGGCATAATAAATAATGCGTCGGTGGCACAGTGGTTGGGACTCTCGCCGACCATGCACATAGTCCGGGGTTTTCGATCCCCTGCCAACGCACACCTGATATCTATGGTCGGCCTGCATAATTTAGGCTACCGATATCCATGCTGAAAATTCCATACTTGTACCAAAACTACAGTGTGGAATCAAGCTGTAATAAAAATAGTACTCTTATGTAATCGATAAAAACGTAAATTTAATTAACTACTTGATTAATTAAGTGACGAAGAGCTAATTGGAGATAACTGCTAGCAAGGAGTTCAAAACGTCGAAGGTGGGCAAATAGATCAAGAGCATAAAATTGACACCAAGGTCAAGGAAATAAATAAAATCGGTTGGATAAAATGTTTCTTAACATGAACTCCTCATTTTTTCCCAATCGATGGTAAGATCTTTGAGTACATGAGAAGGATATAAGCGCAGTTCTTTTGGTTATCAAGGTCTTAATTTATAAATTAGAAAGCTGAATGATGTCTGTAAAAGTGCTGCATGGCCAGAAGTAATAACGCACTTCAGAAATGAACTGTTGGCTGTTCTGAATTCTTCTTTCAACAAGTATGCTGACAGGTGTTGATGATCACGTCTAAACGGTATTATTCTGTTATGGCTTATGTTGTCAACTCCACAGAAGCAAGTAATCTAATACATTCACACTGAAGTTGATGATAAATTGATCTTATTATTTATGATTTGGAAAAGAAGAGCATTGATTGATTGACTGACTGAATGATTTCAACGTAGGACTTCACACAGATGTATAGTAGTTCTAATTGCCACTCTCCCTCCATCTACCACACAAAGCGAAAAAAGATAGTACAGAGAGATAAGGGAAAAAAAGAATAGTAATATGGAAGTAAAATAGAGTCTTATTGGATATGACAAACCATCACAAAGACCAAATGCATCTGCACCATTGACACCAATGATTTTGAACCATATTACCAATTGTCTGAAGTCGCCATTGGTTCTTATCATCCTCAACAACCGAAGCAGCAAGTCTTTACCTCTCCACGTGGATTAAATTAACTATTGTGGATTTTACTAACTGATGTAGCCATGTTTTCGTTTGACCCACCACTAACTAGCTCTTTTCCAACATAATCCATCCTATGTAATCTAACATTGGCTGTCGTCGGAGAAGCCGATGGCTAACTAGGCATGCGTAGCACATTTCCTGGTCATCTGAATCGACGTAACTTCACAACCTTGTCGATTGATTTTCCCTCTTTATCTAGCACTCAACGCCCAGCCTTAGTATTACTCATCTTATTGTATCACTTAACACAGGGGACAGGACGCAGACAACTGTGATTAAAGACAGCTAACCTTTTCATATCTTCCACTTCCAATGGTCATGTTTCTCACAGCCAGCCATAAAGGAGGATGGAGTGAACTTATGGGCAGTACACACATATTTTGACAGATAGTCAGCCGGATATCATGTCTACGCCAAAGATGATGCAGGTAGGTTCATCCCATATCAGCTTACTGCATCTTTGCTGAGATTTTGTCAGCGATTAACCTACCGGGGCTGAATGACGCAACTTCCCAAATAAGTGAAGTAATCAACACTCTCCACCAACCACATGACTTTCTATCTTTAAGGTAAGAGTGGGTGAATGTAGTCCAGTCCAGTCCTGTAGCATCCTCTTATATATGACAATGTAAGCGTATCGCATGCCGAACATTCGAAGTCTTCCGCTCGAGTTGTTGAGAAGTCGCTGCGTTTTTTTCAGCGTCTTCACCTAAAATTACTATATCATCTGTATATTAGTAAAACAGGAGATAACACTGCTTGCATTCATATGCTACATATCACAAATTAACAGAAATTAGCATTCACGCACAGGACATTGGATTCCACCCTAGTGACTGAAGAATAACGTGAACACCTTGTTCTCGGACGTGTTGCAGTTGCATTCCTTACAGCATTTCTGGTAACACATTTATTAAAACTAACAAGCCACTAAAACACGTCTGCTTAAAATTCCTCTGTTTCCAGTGGTTCTCCAACTGGTCTAATTTTTTTTTTGATTTATAGCTTGATTCCACACTGTATTTTCGGTACAAGTATGGAATTTTCAGCCCAAATTTCGCAGGCCGACCATAGATATCAGGTGTGCGCCGGCGTGGGCTCGAACCCCGGACCATGTGGATGGTCGGCGAGAGTCCTAACCACTGTGCCACCGACGTACACGAAACAAAGTAGATTATCTGCAATGAATAGTGTTCTCTGAGTTGGTTGGTTTAGTTGCAGAGCTTTCGTCGTCGTCCCCCCTTCTGGACAACATCTTCAGCGCAATATTTAGCATAAAGTGAAATGATTTAAATTTATAAATATAGAACACAAGCCAGTCAAATCGCTTAATTCGATATATTATGCAAACCGAAAGATCCAACAGAAAAAGGAGATAAAATTATTACCACTTACAAAATAAATTGTAAGAACTGTAACAGGCATTACATCTGCCGAAGTGGGCGTCCCCTTCGAATCTGAATCCAGGAACACAAATCAGCCGTGAAAAGATACGATACATATTCCTTCATATCAATGCATATGGACCTCAGTTTGATTGAGATAATGTCGAAATCTTAGATAGGCGGAACACCAGAAGTGAGCCAGGGAATACCTAGAAGCCTGGTACTCAAACGAATATGCGATTAACAAACACGTTAATATAGACGAAATATACCAACTAATAAAAAGTAAATTATGTGACCAGAAAGTTTAAAATCCAAGTCAATACATATGTAAAGATGGTTATAGGGAGACGCAATTCTATCACTCATGAAGAAAAATTTAAATCATTTCACTTTATGCTAAAAATTGCGCTGAAAGGGGATGTTGTCCAGAAGCGGGGGGGGGGAGGACGATGAGAGCTCCGCAACTAAACCAGCCCGCTCAGTGAACACTATTAATTTCCAACCATCCACCTGAGCTACAAATCTTCTCTATTATAGTAAATTCTCACAAACCGAAAGATTTGAAAAATGAAAATAAACAATACATAAAAAAGCTATAAGCACTACCTACCATACCTTCACTTAATGATAGTGTAGAGAATCGAACTTCAATGGTGACGTATTTCAACCTTAACCATACCAGATTATCTACTTGTAAATTTTTATCTACATACATGGCTTTCACTATTTTATCCAGTGTACATACAAAGTGACATGTGGATATAAGATTAAATAATTCACTATTTAAGGACAAAAGAAAGGTATTACAATTAAACCGTTCAGTCAGTTGATCAATCAATAACTGTTAGTTCAAATTATAAGTTGAGTAGTAATGATTGTATGTTGACACTTTGTTATTCAAAAAACACACCTTCCATGTACCAGGTCATGTAGGACACTTATTTTATGTGAGGTAATACTGCTATCTGGCTGCATTAGTGGTTCACCGGTGGAGAACACTCGATCCTAGGCCGACGCATTCCTTTATCTCGTTAAGCTGGTAGAAAGTCCGTTAAAAAGGGAAGCTTGGATGTGAGGCTAACAACTGCACCCTGTAAAAATAAACACCACTGATACCGAAACTTTGAAGCTCTAGGTTGAAGCCCAGTGAGAATTTAAAGGAATAAAACGAAAAAAGAAAACAGTCAGTGACCTAACTGCTCAAACTGAAGTAGGTGTTTTTGAACAACGAGATGAGGAAACCTACAACAGGACAAAATGAACAAATCCAACTTATTTTCTCGGTACGCCTTACCCCAAGTGCTTACAACCCGAATCCGTTTGTCTGTGTGTTTTCGACATAGAGCAACTTTGCACCGATGTGCACCAGTTCAAATTACCACACTCCCTCCATGTAGCACACAAAGCAAGAGAAGAAGAAAGTAGAAGAAATGCATAATAGAGAGACAGTAAACAGAGGTGTGAGACAAAGGAGGAGTAATAACGAAGAACAAAACAGTTTCATTGGAAATCATAAGTCACAGGGAATGGATGCATCTGCGCTAATCAGTTAAAACGATCACTTTGAGCCATATCATCAATTGTTTCTAGCCTTTATTGGTTTTCATCGTCCCGAAGACCCCAACCCGGAAGTCTAGACCTTCCTACGTGGCTGGCTGGCTTAAACTGACCGCTGCGGATTTCATTAATTGGTGCCATGTTTTGGTTTGACCGCCGCTAGCTTTTATCCAGCCTGACCCTATGTCACCTAACACTGCCCATTGTCGAGGAAGGTGATGACTAGGCATACGTAACACATGTCCTTACCATCTCAATCGGTATAACTTCACAGCCTCGTCGATTGATTTCCCTTCCAACTCACCTAGCACTCGACCGACGCCCAACCTCAATAGTGCTCACCTTATTATACTACTTCACACGGGATGTGGATAGAGCTCAGGCACTTATGATCAAAGACAGCTAATCAAATTTAACATGCTTCAGTTTATTTGAAGAAAACAAAATCTTGAATAGTCATCAAAAATAATGATGATGTAGAGATGAATAAGAAGGCTAAGTTATTGAAATATAAAAATATTCCTGTACTTATGTTTTTAATGCGTTCAGTTTCTTTAAAGAATAGGGAACAAGAATAGTAACAATATATTGAGGCATATAAATTATTAAGATCCTGTAAATTATCGGATATTTGTTAATAAACAAATGAGATATAATGTTAGATGGTTGGAAGTAATCAGCAGGAAGCTTTGCATGTGCTAGTTCGTACTCACCAGTCAGCCAGCAAGGCATATCTGCAACCTTTATTTAAGTCCCTTCTGAGATTCGCACCTGCGTCACTAGCCGGTGCTGCAGTCACAGAATTCAGTCTGCACCAAACAAAAGACTAGACTAACTAGAGTAAACTAGTTACTAACTAGTGTCCGATTAAATGAAGTATGAAAAAATATATATTCTTAGTGAAACTCATTTATTTAGCCATCAGATATAAATAGTATGTTATTTAGTAAATGATGACGTGACTAAGGAAGAGTGAAAAGGTATAAACTCATACCCTTAATAATAGCGACACTTCCTAAAAATCGAATGTTCATAATACCGTAGTTCCTCGGTGACAACATCAGTGAAATAATAACACAGCGCCTGAAGAATGCAGTTAAAAGAGCTTATTATGCAGCAGAGGTACGTTGTCTCTTCACAACCACCCCTATTCTACGTTCGAGGATAGATAAGGATAAACTACCTAAATTTGCCTCCTCCTCTATGTGTATCTACCAGTTTGACTGCAGCTACGGAGCCAGCTACATTGGGCGTACAATTAGGCAGGTTCATCGTCGTATTTCCGAACATCATCCAGCATAATTAAGCAAGGGACAAACAAGATCTATTCGCACCTAGCTCTATTTTAGCCCACCTTGTAGATAGCGAGCATAAGGTTGACATTAATACTGCATTTAAAATTATTTATCGTATTCCGACTTAACTTAATTTTTCTCTCTGCGAGTTCGTCTTCTACAGACAACAGCTGAAGCTATAGGAATCCACCTGAAGAAGCCAAACATGTGTGTTGTCAGAAGAAATTTGTACAGCCACTTTCCTTACCTTGGTCATCGTTACACGAATGTATAAACCTGACTACTTTGTCCCACCCCCCACCTCCTCCTAAACATTTAACATTATAAAAATTATAATTATAGCAAAAATATTCATTCAGACATCTATAAAACACAAAATAATCGAGCAAAGAATATCCCCTTTTGGATAAATTCCTCTTCTGGCTCTACAATTATATCTATATATGTTTATATTCAAGATTGGAAGTTAGTAACAATATTGGTGTTTTTTTTAATTAATATTGATCTGTAAAGTATGATCAATGCAATCATAGTTCACTAAAGATACTTAAATTATAATGGTAATAAAGATATAATAGCGAATAGAATATCAACTAAAATTAGGGAAATTCCACAAAAATTCAGGATTATTCAAACCTGGATGGCCAAGGTAAGGATAATGTCTGAACTAACTTCTTTTGGATGCATATATATATATGGTTTTTATGCATTTTTGTCTGTTTTCTTGATTAACATTTATGGGAATGAAGTAGATCGTATGCCATTGCAGGCCGAGTAATTTCACCTTGTTTAAGAAACTGTAGGGAAGGTCCGTGTGAAGTTGTGTAAATTACAAATTGCAAATTGTAACTAAGAAAATGATTTATCATTCGTGTTAATTTCATTCTCTCCCCCTTGTGGATATTATTCATTGGTTCTCAGTGAAATTCCCCCTTTGAAATTAATCAAATCTCTGTGTTGTTGTTTTTTCCGTCTCATATATTCCCTTTTTCTCCCCCCAGGATATTACCAATAAAACTCCATTAATGAAAGCTGCACGTAGTGGTAAAGTATGGGCAGTTCGAAGACTTTTATTATTTGGAGCTAATGTCAATGTGAAAGATCGTAATGATGAGACCGCTTTACACTTTGCCTGTCGACAAGGCTCAACAGAAATCACGCGAATGCTTATCAAGGTAAGAAAGAATAAGTAAAGAAATATAGCTGATGGTAGATTTCTCTGTCTGCATATTTCTGTTCATTTTGAAGTTCCAGTTTGTAGGGATTCGATTGATTTCAATATGGATTTCATCACCGACCAACATCATCTAGAAAACCAGGAATCATTGGAAAGCTGTTTAGTCCTAGTTTTGAGCTATTTATTGATAATCACCTTCGACTCTATTCGGGATAAAAACAAACACCATCGGCTTACGGAATCCAGCGGTCTATGAGTTCCAACTCCTATTTGACCGATTTAGATGGACACAAAGAAACTCCCTGAATTTCTAATGAGAAGTTGTGGCCAGTAATGTCCAAAAACAAAGAAGGGCGACTTAGGACTCTGCAAGAACTGGTGAGGAACCATGCTCCTGTCGATGACAAGTAAAATCCTGAGTCGCATCATCCGGGAGAGAGTAAAGGACACACTGGATGCAGAACTCCGACCAGAATAAGCTGGGATTCAGGAAAGGCCAGTCATGTACTGACCAAATTGCAACTCTACGCATCATCATAACAGAACAAAGCATGGAATGGCCATCAATCAAACCTCTACCTCAACTTTATAGACTTCGAGAAGGCCTTTGACAGCGTTGATCGCGAAGTAATTCGGAAATTACTCGAGTACTACGGCGTACCCCAAATATTCATCAACCTTATTCAACAGCTGTACGACAATGGCACATGTCAATACAAACATCAAGTCAGTTCTTCAATACAGATCAGAAACTTGGTGGGTCACAAAGAATATTTCCAACAGCCTGTTGCAGACTTTTATCAACCAACAACTGTCTTCGCTCTATACTGAAGATCAGATGGCCGGCCGGAGAGAATCACCAAAAAGAAACTATGGGAACGAACAAACGAAACAAGAACCCAACAATCGCCTAACAAATATTCAGGAGAAGGTGGATTGAGATGAACTGGACACTCACTCGCTAGGGAGGCCACCGGGTGACATCGCGCGCGCGTCAGGCCATCGCTGGAGTGGAACCCTCAAGGAAAGCGGTGAGTGGGACGTCGGTGTAAGGATGGCATGGAGGAGATCGTGTGGAGAGGAGTTGAAAGAGTATGGACTAAGATGGATGCAGGTGAAAAGTACAGCAGAAGACAGAAGTGGCAAGAGGAGACGTGCAGTTGAAGCCCTATGTTCCACTAGGAACCCAAGGGAACAATAATAATAATAATAAGGTTCACAAAACGTCAGGTGTTAAGAAAGAGTCTCCAATGACATTCAACAGCTCTGGCTTTAGACTATGAGTTGATAGGCGTTTGAAATCAGATTCTCCATAACATTCACTACACAAAATGGTTAGCTGATATTCTGGAATCCGTATAGAAGTGCATGTATTTACTTGCTTTGTAGCACTTATCAATTCATCGATTGCATACAAGACTTTAGAATTCATCAATCCTCTAATTTCAACTCGGTTAGTGAATTATCAACAGACTTACTTCATAATCTGCAAACCGTCGACTAAGCCTCTGATTAAACCGTGAGGGCATTCTGCTGAAAAGTCCAAAAGTAGAACAAAACAATTATCCTGTACTTCCTAGTTTTCACTACTTCTATAACTGGTGGCCATGCTTGACGAAATCAACGGTGATTTCTGTTTTTAATGAATAACTTATGTTAGAGAACCACTGGAAAACCTGGGAGTACTGGACAGCAGTACACACTGACCGGCGTTTGAACCCAGTACCTTCTGCTTACAAGGCGAGCTCTTAGATTTTTGAAATGTTTCTGGATTATTTCAATATTGTCAAAATCAATTTTGTGGCCTGATACCATAGAGTGTAGACCTATGGCTGGCTGATGACTTTTCAAGTTTTTCTAGTTCAACCGGATTTCTTGGTGGTCGAACAGATGCTCTACGGTGTTCATTTCTTCTGATTTTGATTACAGCTTGATTCCACACCGTATATATGGTACAGGTATTGTATTTTCAGCATATGATATCGGTAGGCCAAATTTTGAAGGCTGACCATAGATATCAGACGTGGGTTGGCGGTGGTTCGAACCTTAAACCATGTGCATGGTAGGCAACGGTCCTAACCACCGTGCCACCGACGCACAACAGGATGTCGCTGCCAGGATTTTATTTTATTTTATAGACACAATCAGATAGAAAATCCTTAAGGATTTGATCTCTTCTATGGACAAAGTTGCTTTGAAGTGTTTCTGATGTTTTGAAGAAAACTCTGATGTCATGCTTATTGAGGAATCTTCTGATGTCGTCTGACGTGTCTGTTCTATATGGAATGACAACTGTTGCAACTATTGCGTTATATTATATCAGATATTTCTCATGTGCGTCAGTGGCACAGTGGTTAGGACTCTCGCCAACCATGCACATGGTCCGGGGTTCGAGCCCGCACCGACGCACATCTGATATCTATGGTCTGCCTGCAAAACTTGGGCTACCGATATCCATGCTGAAAATTCCATACTTGTACGGAAAATACAGTGTGGAATCAAGCTGTAAATCAAAAATAAAAAAATAAATTTAATTTTCATTTCCTTTTATGTTACGTAATACTTGGTACACAGATATGTAATGGCGACGTTGTTGTTTTTACGGAGTTGAGGTTACCAACCTTATGCCTAGCCTTGTCTCATTTCCAGGTTTGTTACTAGCTAGTAAATTACATGAGGTCTCGGATTTCATGAGTTCAGAATGGAACTTCGATGTCCCTCGTGGTTACAGAACTATCTGATAATAATAATAATAATAATAATAATTTGCTTTATCCAGAAATATTACTAGTGGTACAGTGTGGAGTTTTCAGCACTTATCTACAATATTGCATCTAATTTCATCGCATACTTAAAAGGAGTATTACAAAAAAAATAAATATAAAAAAGCAACAACAAAAAAAAACAAAAATAACAAAAGAATGCAAAAAATACCATAACGTCGGAAGGAAAATAAACACCAATAATGAATAATATTTCAGTATTGGGTAGTGGAAGCTATGATATGTGCATGCGTGGCGAATAGTAAAAGCTATAATCATACAAGAAGTTATGAAATGGTCTTAAGAATGTTTATAGCCAAGATGATCAGTTAATTTGATTGAACAACACTAAACAATCATAAAATAAAAGTCAATCTGAACGAAGAATACTCTTTTCAATAATTTCTCCTCTTCACTTTCTTACAACTATAAAATAGAATATTTTTGGTCCTTACAATAAAGGCCAGTTATGCATAGGATACATTTTCTAACGTAGAATAACAGATTAGTAGTTATGGGGTGTCAAAATAAATAGAGTCGTATTTGAGTGTGACAAACTTTGTGCTAGGCAGAAATCGATTACAAAATATTTCGCTGAAATGGGAGACAATGGTGGTGATTAGTCATAACAGATTTGTAGAGTGTGTGGTAGGATAATTGACAAGTAAGTTAGCTCGAAGTTATAAAAAGTATCAAGTGAGTGAGTGGCTAGTACAAAGTGGTCTGTATTCAAGAGGAAGAGATGGTAAGACTGGAATGAGAGAGGTTCATAGTGAGATAAGGAATATGTTAAATGAAGAAACAGGTGGAGGCGGCATATATTGAGAAAAGAGATAATATCACGAATAATAAGTTCGGATAGTATAAATGGGAAATTCGATAGTATTGAGGGAATGTTTGCATGTAGGGCATAAATTATGACGAATAATAATAATAATAATTGTAATTGTAATAATAATATTTGTAATAATAAGCAAAGGAAAACATCAAGATGGATAAGGGGAAGAGGCGCTCTTGGTGAGAAGAAGAATCATCAATCGAAGTTTGGCCGCGGCAGGAACAGCGTCTGGATGTGTTTTTTTGGATACAGAGTTCCCGTTTAGTCGATCTTGTTGCAACAGCTTTAGCTATGTGTAGGAGACGTAAGCAAACTGTACGTGATAACGACTTCGGACCCTGAAACGACCAAAAATATTCTATTTTATAGTTGTAAGAACCTGAAGAGGAGAAATTATTGAAAAGAATATTCTTCGTTCAGATTGACTTTTAATTCAAAAAAACTGGAATATTTCACACTATCAAATCATAAAATAAGCATTTCACGGTTTATTTATTGTCAGCTCTAATGCGGTGTTTGTAGTGGTAGTGTGAGTATTCCTGCATAATACAAAAATTTTAGGATGGTGATAACGGCGTTCACAACGAAGATTGTCAGTTAGTATTGCTGAACAAAAAAAAAAACAATCACGAAAGTAATATTACTCGAAGGTTAATGACAGGGCAATTTTGTAATACTCATAGTGCCAATATAGTCAGGACCAGTAGATACACAAAAGAAGGAAAAGTGTGAAGTACAAAAAAAGGAAGCCAATGATAATAATTTTAGGTAGTCAAGTATGTTTAAGAAGGTTGTTCACTATAGAGTACAAATAAGAGAGTATTAGGGGGTAAATAACAAGGGCCAAAATTATGTTATTCGACAACAAAGCAAGTCATAGGTTTCACGCTTAACATTGTCTCTGTCTCAGAACACGGGTTGGCCAAATATGGTATCGCTGAGTTCCTATACTTGGTTGTACGATCATATATATATATATCTAGTGCTGAACCATCGATGCACGAATAAAGTATTCACATGATCTAATTTTGATAATGCCTGTCTATCTATCTATCTATCCATCTGTCTGTCTGAGTGTATGTCTATCTATCTATCCTTCTATCTATCTATTTTAGGCTGAATCACGTTTAAATGCACAAAATCAAATTGGTTTAACCCCACTAATGGAGTCTGTATCGTATAATCAACGTGAAGCTGTCAGCCTACTCATAAAACAACGTGATATCGATTTGTATAAAAGAGATTTTTGTACAGGTGATACAGCATTACATATCGCTGTGAAAAAAAATTATATCCATATTGTAGAAATATTATTACGTGCAGGTAAGCGAATGTTTGTGTGTGTGTGCGTACATGTGTATGTGAATTGTCTATTAACGATTGATTGTCAGACTGGCTGGGTGATCATTGATTGAAGATGCTGGAGTTACTAGCACCAGTCGTCCTGAGAGTGAGACTTTTGATCTCATTTTCAATCACCACAATATACACTTATAGTTGTCTGTCGATTCCAGCTAGTGTCATCATCAATTATCAAACTGAACCTCTCCCTCTTATTAGATGGCTGGAGGCAATCGGAAAGAAGCCTTGCCTGACCTAGGTTTCGTGTTAGCCGGCACTCATCAGCAAGGAGTATCTGCAACATTGAAGGAACTCATGTCCCTCCTGAGATTTGAACCCGCCTCAACCATTGCTGCAGTCAGGGACGTTACCACTGAGCTATTTGGGCTCGTGATCGACCTCCTGTAGGACTGTATCGTGAGCCTGAATAGCTCAGCGGTAGCGTCTCTGGCCACAGGCGGCACTGGGTGATGCGGATTCAAATCTCAGAAGGGACATGATTTCCTTCAAGGCAGTTGGAGATACGCCTTGCTGATTGAGTGTCAACTAGCACGAAACCTAGGTCTAGGCAGGGCTTGCTGTGGCCGATTGCCTCCAACCACCTAATACCAACATTTCACAGTGCACCGTAATGACGATTCACCTAGCTTGGTGATCACATTGCAAGCATGACTGATAGAATTCAGTCTCCACCGAAGATAGGACTAGACAAATTACACTAGTTAATGACTGGTATGATTATGAGTGATAAGAGAAGAACTATCTGAGTAGCTATTATGGTTAGATATGAAGAGTTGTCGATCATGTAGCTCAACTGATTGATAGGATACCAGGATATTAATCGAAAGGTCACAAGTTCGACTCCCGCCTCTGGCGATATTGTTTACTCTGACGCGAGTATTTAAAGTGCTTACAGTCTGCTGGCTAGGAAATATTCTAGTAAACTTGAGAAAAAAGCATCATCACGAGTGGCGATGTGTATATACCAGTACATGAGATTGCTGTTGACATAAGGATAAAACTTGGACACTATGGCGGTAGAGTATAACTCCATTATGGACAAAATTTTATTTTGATAAAATCACACAGTGTTATACAGTAAGTAATATTTACTGATAACCACGTTTCGAGCACAAATTATTACTGCTCATAATCATCATATCATGGCACTACTCACACAACTTTCTTGCTGCATTTATATACATGAGTAAAAATTGATCAGACATTTGAATAAAATTCAATATAAGATAAAGTACATTCAAGAATAATAATGTGAGTGTTATCAATTATAAATACAACCAGATGGGAAATAAGACTAGTGTTTTTATAGTCAAAATAAGTAACTTTTTAGAGTGTTATAATGTGAATTGAAATACATTTTAACATTATTTATTATCCTCCTCTGATTTAGCTAACTGGTGGTAATAATATCTTCTATACGTATCTCTGGTATTTGCATTGAGTCATTTCTGTTGCATGTGTTTGGTGTAGATTCAACGAATCAGGATTCCGTAATCATCCACTATCTCTCTCCACCTACCTAGATTACATTTTAGAATTTCGACTCTATCCTACCCATTCTTTTGTGTGATTGCGTGTTAATGCATGCAGTGCTATAGCTGAGTTTTTTTGGCTAAATTACTTATCTTTGTGGGATCAATCATTCTAACCTCAGCTAAATTCTTATCTACTGATAATCTCACTACTCCTGATCTATTGGTTTGACCTATGTAGTTAACCTCACAGTCCTGGATATGATTATGAGCGGTAATAAATTGTGCTCGAAACATCATCTACAAGTGAACCTAATGTTGAGTTTAGACCCATTTCAATTGCCTCACCCTTCTTGAAAGTTATGGAAAGACTTATTTTACTTAATCTTGATCCCTCTTTAAAACCTTTCAACGACCCCAACCAGTTTGCTTATAAACATAGTAGGAGTACGTTAGATGCCGCTGTCGTCCTCCACCATAGCATAGTCTCTAGTTTAGATAAAGGAGCTAAATACGTTCGCTGTGCCTTCCTTGATTACACATCTGCATTTGACTCTGTTCCCAGGTCTCTCTTGCTAAGTAAGCTTGCTGCAACACAGGCTGAAAGCTGGACAAATAAGTGGTTGCATTCCTATTTTTCTGAAAGGAAGCAGTACACCGTCTACAATGGAAAATCCTCCACTACCTCACTTACTTTAGCTGGTGTTCCTCAAGGTGCTGTTCTTTCTCCCTTTCTGTTCTCGTTTTTCTTACATGACTTGCCTCATTCTGATGTAGCCACTTTTGTTAAGTATGCCGATGACCTCTCTCTTTCTATGCCTGTCAACTCTCAGTCAGATTGTTCCAAATTAAATAGCTTTCTGTCGGAAATTAGTCAGTGGTCCTCTTCAAACGGACTTAAGCTTAATCCGTCTAAATGTCAGGTAGTCAATTTCACTTTCAGACGTAAATGTGACCTACAGCAACTAGTTAGCTCACATGGCCCCACTCTCATTGACGGCACAGAGGTTGAAAATACATCTTATGTCAAGTACCTTGGGCTGAGTTTTTCCACCGATCTTTCCTGGTCTTCCCACATCTTGCTAGTTACTAGAAAGATGTTTCGCTTAACGTTCTACATTAGGAAATTTAGGCAGTCTGGTATAAAGCAGTCTTTACTTTCTCAGTTTGTAAATTCTTGTATTCTACCCATCCTCCTTTACTGCTCCCCATTAGTCTTTCCTGGACTACTTAAGAAAGACTTTGCTTCGCTGAGAAGGGCACTAAAAGCTGTTAGTAGGGCAAGTGGGATATCGTTAAACCAACTGGTGAACACTATTGTAGATAGACATATAATGTCATGTAAGAAACTAGCGAATACAATATTGTCGGACCCCGAGCATCCTCTCTATACGCATCTATCTCCTTGCATTTCATCTGGTAGAACTAGAAGCAGCTATAGGAGGCTATATGCTAGGACTACCAAATACAAAAACTCCACAATACCATATCTGGCACAGCTGTTATGTGATGAGAAATCCGTTAGGTATGACACGATAAACTTACTGCAGCACTCTAACAAATAGTTCCATTAGTTTTTGTTTTCCTTTCCTCGTTACTACTACACTGTTGTTCTCATCTACTACCACACATCAACTTTATATTTCAAATCCTGTGGTGCATTGTTTGAAATGAAATACTCTACGCTGTTTTTTTTTTCTTAATTTTTAATATTTATTTATTTTATTTATTTATAACTTATTTATTTTATTTATTTATTTATCTTTGATTTTTAAAAATCTTATATAATTTATGAGGTAATTAGATGCAATATACTGTAATGCACGCTGAAAATTCCATACCTGTACCACAAATACTGTTTGGAATAAAGCTGTTATTATTATTATTATTATCATGAGTAAATATGAATGTATATCTCTGTGTGTGTGATTTTATCAAAATAAATTTTACCCATAATAGAATTATACTCCACCACAGTGCACAAGTTTTATTCTTATATCAATAGAGATGTGTATTGTTGAAGCCCTATGTTCCTTCAGAAACCAAGCAGACAACAATAGTATTAATAATTTAGTAACTTACCGTTTATTCTCGAGAAAGATCTTACCTAACTGAAAACATTTAAGCATTGGCCGACACATACAGATCAGGTGTACAATGTGATCATTTAAATTAATAGGACATGATATTGTTCCTCCCACTGTACGATGACTACAGCTACCGAGAATATTAGATAAACGAAAATCTTGCTTGTTATATTTCACCAGTAAGGCACGTAATCTATAACATTACAGCTGTACTTGTCGCCTTATAGATCTAGTCCTATGTTCATCATCCCTGAAAAAGTGTAAAACAACCTACCTACCTACCTACTCTCAATGGTGAATTCAACCTTTCACAAAGTTTCTCACTGGTTAGCCGATAGGTTAGAACCTGTCAGACGATGTCTAGCTAAACAAACTCTAAACGACTCGTTCCATTTTGCTGAAGAGGTCAATCAACTCAATTTACATGACAAAATCATGGTTTCCTTCGATATGACTTCTCTATTCACCCTAATCCCTCTTCAGGAGACAATAGACATCATATGTCAACACTCTGTGATCTCCTTCCTCTATCAAAACTGGAATATAAGCAGCTTCTTGTGTTATGTACTAATGATATACAATTCCAGTTTAACAACAAAATATATCGCCAGGTTGATGGTGTGGCAATGGAGAGACCACTGGGCCCGATATTGGCTGATATCTTTATGGTCAGTCTGGAGCAATTGGCGAAACAACAGCCAATCCTACTCTAGATACACGTTGATAACACATTCATTGTATGCAATGATTTGAGTCACGCTTTGTCTCTATTAGACTCTTTCAACAATGTACAGAATAGGCATCACTTTCACGATGGAGCATGAAGATGATGAAAAATTTCATTTTTTTGGCCGTAAAGTTGGAGAGAAAAAAAGCGACGGGACACTCGAAAGATCTGTATATCGTAAAGACACATGGAGTGATCTTTACTTGAATTTCAACAGCTTCCGCCCAGTGAGATACAAACGAACGCTGGTGAAAACGCTTTTCTCTAGAGTGGAGAGAATATGTTCACCAAACAAACTAGACAGTGAACTATTGTTTCTTGAAAAATGCTTGAAAGAAAATGGCTACCCACAAAGTTTCATTAACAAATATGGCAAGATTGAACTCAAGAAGCTTGATACAGCTACAGTCAGTAAGAAGCCTATTTTCATCCAACTTGACTATAAGGGCGACGACATTATGAGAATGGTAAATAAAAGATTAAGCGCAGACCTGTCTAGGACGTATCTTGCAGCATTATTAGTCTCTCTATCCCGAACAACCTCTTCATTGGTACAGTCAAAGATTGACAATTACCCCTCACATATTACCTCCAACTGTGTATACCAGTTTACATGTATCTGCGGGAGCAGTTACATTGAAAGAACAGAGAGGAGGGTCTACGTCAGATTCTGAGAACATGTACCAAGGAACCTCCGGTTAAAGAGACCGAATTGTTTAAGCTCTTCAATCGCCGCCAAACACCTGATTGAGACAGGACACCGAGTAGATGCGTTGGAATCATTCAAAATAATTAACAGACAAAGTACTTCAAGTTCTCTCAGGTTTACTGAAGTCATAGCAATAAAACGATTGAAGTCTGACTTATGTGTCTAAAAAGGATCTGTTGTTGGACTTCAGTTACCCTGGCGACTTACTACTTAGTAACTCTTTGTTTTCTAATTTTGTTAGCTTATCTTTTCACTCCACTCCCTCCCTTTATTTTTCGCTTGACTTTCTTATGAGATAATTTTTCTTGATCTTCTGAGTTCTGCTGACTGTATTATATCATCAAGTTCTCATGTGACCTCACGTGCACTGAAATTTTAAAATTTTGATCTTCTCTTATCTCTTATTTGTTACTACCCCGACAACACAACTGTTAATTAATTTTCTTCAAGAAACTTCTCTCTACCGAGATATACATATATATATATCGTAACACCTTAGACACCATGTAAATCTCAACGCCTTATTTTACTATGACGCTCTGACAGTATGCTTGCTAATGGACAGAGGTTTGTTAAAAATTATACACTCTTTATTTTCTATAGTTTGGTTTGTAAAAGTTAGTTATGCTTTTACGAGTTGATCATGGATTGATATCAGTTAGAGACCATTGAAAACCAGCACTGGAGTACTGGACAGCTGCTGTTTCATCCTAATTTGGGAATCATCGGTAGTACGCACCCACTGCCAGGGTTCGAACCCAGGACCTTCCGGTTACAAGGCAAGTTCGTATTGTTAAATTAATTATTTCTATATGAATTATATCATGCCTATGTTTATGCTATTTATATTTCTTCTATTACAGGAAATTGGTATATTGAATACAATTACAATAATTTGGGTGAATCATTTGTACATGATGTGATCGCTTATAATCGACTAGAATTGTTACGTTTATTCTTAGCGTATAATTATGATTTGGATAGACCAGCAAAACGTCTTCCACCCAACATTCACTTGTTAGCCTCATCATCCTCAAGTAATCTAAATAGTAGTGTAAAACCTCAGCACAGTATAATCACACCAACATCCTCTGTACACTCAGAAACCAATCCACGAACAATACAATCACCACCTCAAGTTAATTTATTTGAAAAATCTCCCTTTCAAATGGCACTAGAACGTGGTCATCTTGATATGGCAAGAATATTAGCTGAAGTGGGTTGTTTTTGTACACGATTGCCTATCAGTTCAACAACGTCAATAGCATCTGTTTGTACAAATTCATCACAAAGTAATAATTCAGAGACAAATCAATCAACAATCACTCCTTTGTTGAGATCTTCCCACGCACACCAGTTGAATCCTTTAACACGTCGTTACAATGGCCTCCTGGAAGTGAAATCCTTACAGAAATGGTGTCGTAAAGTAATCCGACATAGACTTGGTTTTCGTCTAATTGAAGCGTTGCCTCATTTGCCTATACCAGTCCCCCTGAAAGATTTTCTCCTATTACGTGATTTAGATTGGTCAGTTTATCTAACCAATAGTAGAAGTTCAACAACAGTCAATTCAGGGGAATTAGCTATTATAGTACCACCGTGAATGAAGAAATAAATAGCAAATCTTCTGCTGGAGGATCATCGCATTTACAACAGTCTAGAGATTAGATAAGTGGTACTGGATACTTACTAATTATTAGGTTTATACCAAATATATACACATATACATATATATACATATTATTAATATAAATAACAATAGTTTAGGCGACTAACTAACCATTTGTGGACATAACTTATATACTCAAAGACACGCACACACATACACAGGCATGCACGCACGCACAGGGACAAACAAACAAACGGACAGATAAATGAATCATGTCACATCTGGAGAGAGAGAGACAGGAACACTATCCGTCTACTTTAGCTGATATTTACAATCGCCAGTAAGCACTTCTATAGACAAATTACATTTTAGATGTATTCATACATTATATATATATATATATATATATATATATATATATATATATATATAAAATCAATAACGGTTATGTAAGCATTTCATGTAATATGTAGTCATATTTTTATTTATTAAAATATATATATTTTTGAAAATGGCTGTTTGTGTCGTTCTTAGTTCTTTCCTTTTTCACAATACATGGATAATCCCCATCCACAGGCATTAATGAAAACAAAACACGTAGATCAGCCAAGAGTCTCTTTTCGACGGCGGCGAATTCATTTTCTTAGCTGTACAATCCCAAATATATACACATGTGTTATCTTGTATGTATGTGTACATTAAGTTTGTCAAACAAAATTACAATTGGTTAAGGTTATTTTAATTAAACAGGAGTTACGTAATACAAAATCAGTCAAGAAAATTAGGTGTTAATGAAATTAGGGTAGTAACAAAAGTGATTATTATTATTTTATCCTTTAATTCCTAGATGAACATAGGGCTTTAGCTGCGCACCTCCATTGCCTTCTGTTTTCTGCCAACTTTTTCACTCCGCTCCAAGTGTGCCCACATGCTTTCATCTCCTCCTCACATGACCTCCTCCAAGTCACCCTCACACTGACGACCAACTGACTCGCCGCTTCCCTTTCGGGTTCCACTCGAGCAATGGCTTGTCTAGTGATGTTACTTGATGGTTTCCTCAGTGTATGGCCGATCTATCTCCATTTATTCCTGCCTATTTGTTGGACAATCAGTTCCTAGTTGGTTCGCTCAGTGCCAGAGATCCCTGTTGTTGATCTTTTCTGGCCGGCTATCTAATCTTGAGTAGTATTGAGCGAAGACAGCTAGCTGTTGATGAATGTCTGTAGTTTGTTTGATGTGCTCTTTATGACGTGGTGCCAAGTCTCTGATCCTTGTAGAGTAGTACTGACTTCACATTGGATTTGAAAATCCGGATGTTATTTTCGATGCTGTGTGATGTCGACCTCCACACAGACTTGAGAGTAATGAAAGCTTGTCTTACTTTTCCGATCCTCGATCCTTTGATATCCTCGTCAGTTACACCTGTAGTTGAAACGATTCTTTCCAGGTAAGTGGGTGGGTAAAGGAGGTTGTTTCTTTCAGGTTCATCCCACTTACACCGGCTGATTGTTGTTGCTGAGGCTGCTGCTGTTGGCCAGGAATCTTCATCACGTACCTCTGTTTTCTCTATGTTCACCTGAAGTTCTATCTTCTCTGGATGCTTCTTCTGTCGCCAGCTTGTTGCTTTTCACTTGCATTTCTTCCAGCAGTTTGTGGGAAATCAGACATATGTATCACATCGGCGAAGTCCAGATCCTCCAAGTTTTTTGTGTGAGTCCATTTTATGCCTGTTTCCTCATTGCCCGTTGTCCGTCGCATTAAAGTTATATATACATTATAGTGAATGAATGAATGAATGAATTAGTGTTATGAACAACATTAATTGTATTTAAATAACATCGAATCAATAATATTGATAGATTACAGCTGAATAGCGTCAAAATAAAACAAGCTGAATGTCAGAAAAAATTAGGAAAGATAATAAAATTACAAATTTATGAGTTTACAGTTTCTACTGAAGGCCAGGGCAATAGTAGGGGCTGGCTGGACTTACTTCTTTTGGATACCGGCCACAAAGCCAGCGTGGATGAGTCCTCTATATTATAACGGGTGCTAAATAAACTGCCAAAAACATCGAAGCAAAGCAGGCTCCAAGCAACAGAGGCTATTGCGATTCTCATCAAACAGCCAGAGCTCTGTATCCAAAAGAAGCAAGTCCAACCCCTACTATTGCCCTGGCCTTCAGTAGAAACTGTAAACTCATAAATTTGTAATTTTATTATCTTTCCTAATTTTTTCTGACATTCAGCTTATTTTATGTTGATGCTATTCAGCTGTAATCTATCAATATCATTGATTTGATATTATTTAAACATTAATGTCGTTCATAACATTAATTCATTCATTCACTATAATGTATGTATAAATGTAGAGCCTGATGATGAATTTATCGAAAAGAGTACTCTTTGTTCAGTATCCATTCTTTCCTTTTTCACAATACATGGATAATCCCCATCCACAGGCATTAATGAAAACAAAACACGTAGATCACCGAAGAGACTCTTTCAGGCGGCGAATTCATTCACATAGCTGTACAACTGCAAATGGTAATAATTCAAAAATATTTGATTTGTTTGAAGGGAGAGTTTCTTTTCAAGTGTTTCTTCTGTGCTTTTTACAATTAGCTTGTGTCATAAGTTTATAGGCGGTTACCCGAATCACATTTAACCACAGTGTCTCTAAGTATTGTACTGTCAGTATGTAATGACTGCATTTCGAAAATGGTCTGGACCATCCATTCCATTTTTGTCGTCAATACAGTATTCTTTTATCGACCTAAGGCAGAGTGTATGATATTTCACTGCCTGTAGTCATGTTTTCCTTCTGTGAATCCAGATTTTTAGGATTGCTTCCGTCTCGTTGTTGTAACACCATGTCAGTAATTCTGAGGTTCCATAACAGGGTGGATTGAAGTTTGATTAATTAAGATTACATTGGGGCAGTGACTGAATTACTACTTTTTTGTCGTTTAATGTTACATCGTCCTAAAAATGGTAAGAAGTGAGTGACACAATAATTATTAATCCATAATATGACGTCGTTGTGTTACGTTACCATCTGTTAGTGTATTGGGGTTCTTTGGAAGGGATCCACGAGTTCATTTGACTCTTTGACTTGACACTTTACCAGATGTGCGTAAGAATCGAAATCATCGACTCTCTCGTGTACCTGTAGCATTTTTATTGCATTTACTATTGAAAATAATATTCATGGATAATCCCCATTCAGGCATTAATGAAAACAAAACACTTAGATCAGCCAAGAGTCTCTTTTCGACGGCGGCGAATTCATTTTCTTAGCTGTACAATCCCAAATATATACACATGTGTTATCTTGTATGTATGTGTACATTAAGTTTGTCAAACAAAATTACAATTGGTTAAGGTTATTTTAACTAAACAGGAGTTATGTAATACAAAATCAGTCAAGAAAATTAGGTGTTAATAAAATTAGGGTAGTAACAAAGGTGATGAGTTGTCACGAACAGTTGTTGTTGAAAGAATTTATGTAATAATAATATGAATAGTTTGATGATTGAGTTTTACTCAGGATGCACATAGAAACAACAAAGTAGATAATACGAAATTATGTAAGAGTTCTACATGAGTACAAGAATTATAAGCAATTAAAGAACAGGCAAACAAACAAAATAAGTCATCAAAATCAAAAAATTTGTTACCATGACAGTAGAAGTGGTTGAGTAATCTTTTGTATGCACAGCTCCAGTTTTTCTATGTGAATGGCCAGAGCTTCAGCGATGCAAAGAAGACGAAAGTGTATTGCCTTTATTAGGTTATTCTTGACTCTGTAGATTACTTTGAAGCAGGAGGCGTTTGTTGAAATGAAATGATCAGTGTGTTAACCGGGTATTCAATTGTCACACTCCTTATTGCACCACTACTGGCTTTTCGCAACCATGCTGGCTGGATAGTGTTCTTGAATCCTATTGGACAGGGTTTGCGTCGAACGACCGGTGTACCATGCATCACAGCAGCATGTGGACTGATATATGCACATAGAAGTGGTCAGATGCGGGTTCTTGTCCTTGAGGCTTCTGCAGATCAGAGGGCAACTGGAGAACACTATTCTTAACGTTGCTGTAAAGAATGTTCTTCTCAGAGATGATGTGATCCTTCTCTTGAGAATATCGCTTGAATGGGTACCCAGCTAAAGAAGCATGTTAGTTGACCATTCCACGTAGGTTTTCTATGGATCGATTTTCTTAGTTCCACATCAAGAAACGGAATTTTTGACTCGCTTTCCATATCAAGAGTGAATTTTATTGCTGGATGGCAATTGTTAAATGTCTTCAGCAGCAGACTGAGGTCGTTGTTGTTGTCACAAATAATGAAAATGTCGTCCACGTATCTTTTATACAGTCACATATTGTCAATGCTTGGCTTTAATGGACCTCTCTCAAGGATTGCCACGAAGCAGTCTGATAGTAGCGGACCCAACGGAGATCCCATTGCAACACATACATACAAAATAACACATATATATTTCCGATTGTACAGCTAAGAAAATGAATTCGCTGCCGAAAAGAGTCTCTTCGCTGATCTACGTGTTTTGTTGTCATTTTTTCACAATAAGCTAAAGAAATATCAGCGGGTGGTTTTATTGCATATCCCCACTAACTATGGCATCGTTGTTATTATTATTATCATCCTTCCCTTAGGTTCAGAGTTGAACGTAGAACTTCAACAACGCATCTCCACATTTGGTTCTATTCTCTGCAGTCCTCCTTAGCTGGACCCACAATCGCCCATCAACTCTCATCTCCCCCGTGTCACCCTAGGGACTGCGTCGAACTCGTTATTTTCCATTCGAGTTCTACTGGAGCATTGGCATAACGTACGACATCTTCCAACGGTCTCCTCAGACTATATCCAATCCACCACCATTTTGCATCTTGGTTACTTTGTTCCCGCTTTCTTGTTGTTAATTTTTTCTGTCTGGCCATCTGATTTTTAATAGTGAAGCGAAGGCAGTTG